GGGGAGGCTCCTGGCAGCCCCAAGAGCGAGAGCCAGAGGGAGATGAAGGGAGAGCGAGGGCCAGAACGAGACCGGGAGCGGGGGCAGTCCGGGTCGGTCCCTCCCTCCCGTTCCGCCCCCTCAGCCGCCGCCGCGCCCTCAGCGCCTCGCGCCCCCGGCAGGTGGCAGCCCAGGCGCGCGCGAGGGCGGGCCGTGGGCGGGCGTGCGGGAGTGGCGCCAGCGATAGAAAGGCGTCAGGAGGAGCACTTAACGCAGGCGCGGTGGCCAAGTGGTAAGGCGTCGGTCTCGTAAACCGAAGATCACGGGTTCGAACCCCGTCCGTGCCTTGGTGGGTCCACGCAGGCGGGAACTCTCCCCTCATTTTTAGGGGAAGGCAGAGCTCCGGCCCCGGGACCCTCCAGGGAGCCCGACCCGCCGAGCCCCGGGCATGGCGGCTCCGCAGAGCTGCGGTGCGCGCCCGGCAGCAGTAGATCCACGAGCCCGGGCGGGTCCCCGCTCCCCCCGAGCGCCGGTACCCAGCCACGGCTCTCGCACCGGCGGCAGCGGCTCCTCCGGCCCAGGAACGGCTTCTGGTGGATGTCGTGCCAGCTGTGCCTCCTCCTCGGTCATTCCTGCCCATGTCTCAGCGGCTGCATGACCGCCCTTCTCACATCTACAGGAACAGAACAGTTTTCCTTCGTTTTTCCTTGGATTGTAATCCTGCTTTCAAGAGGCCCTCAGCTGAGCCTGAAGAAACAAAAAAGAGTTTGAAATGCGAAAGGCCCAGATGACTGCTGTGGTCTAGTGGAAGTCATGTCAAACGCCTTTTCCACACAGCACTATTGAGGGAAGTGCTGGTGCCTACCTTATCACGCAGTCATTCCTGGGAGGAACAAGTGGAGCCTCTGCAGGATCTTGTTTGAAGAGATCCTCCAGCTCCTTCAAACACGTGAGGAGAGTTTGAAGAGAGCCTTCTCCAGAGGCTGCAGCTATCAGGATCATCCTGTAATCCCCCAGGTCCCTTTCATTGGTTCACCCCACCCTACCACCATGAAATTAAGTATTTATTAATTTGGTTCTTTCTTCTGATTGGTAAACCATGAGGTTTCTTCATCTGTATCACTAACCACTTAGCAGGATTATTTGCAATCTGATTAGTGTGTACTTTACATTTCCTATTTTCTAACAGAAAAAACTCCCTGTGACATTGAAAAATGGGTAAGGAAAGGGTGCAGTGGTAATGCTCACAGGAGCCCAGCAGTGCTCCCCTCCTCCTGGTGAAACAAACACTGAGTGCTTTGGACACAGCTGATCCAGCAGCACCACAAGTGGCCAGGAGGTCCAATTCAGTGACACTGACAGGACCAGGGAGCAAACCTTAACACACAGTTAAGGGTTGGCAGCACTTAAATGCATCCTAACAGTGTAAATAGGAAAAGAATTACTAATTGAAGGAAATCTTTGTTGATTCATGTTTGATATTTACTTACCATTTGAAATTTTACTGATCACTGTGTCCACACAATCAATTTTGTTCTCTGTCTGACAAATCTTCCGTTCATATTCTGCACCATTGTTGGCAGGAATATAAACTGTATATTTGTTGTATGAACAGAAATAAATGTCCTTAACTATTTACACTGGATTTTGCAAATATTCTTAGATATTTTTACTTAGAGGGATACAAAGGATAGTGAGGTACATCCACGTCCCTGAAACTACTTTCATAGGAGGGTTGTAAAAACTAAATGCAAAAATCAAACTCAAGGACAAAACACATATCTGTTAAATACTGCTTTCTGTTTACTACAGTCTCAAGGATAAGCCTCTCAGGGAGGGTGGAGATGAGCCACCTTGCCACTGATGAGTAAAGCTTTCATAAATTTGTGCTTGTTTTTTGGAAATAATATAGGACAAAGCCAGGTATGCACAAGAGCTGTGGCTGATTCCAACCCTCTTAACAATGGTTTGAGGCCTGTGAGTCTGTGTTAGATGATACAGAAATCAGGTAACACAGAACCTGTTTTTCCACAGTTTGCAGACAGAACTTACATTCTGTTGAGTAACATTGCTGAACTATTAGCATGATAACAATGTTGCTAAGTAACATTTTAAGAAATGTCTTGTGGTTATCTACTTGAAATTAATTTTGTAATTAGAAAACTATCTGTGCACTCAAAGCCTAGGAGAAACTTGTGCAGCCCAGAAATAGTAACTCCAGCAGCAGTTAAGAGGTAGAAATAATTAACATATCACACGGGTTTACTGCCACAATGGATTCATTTACTTGATGTTAAACCTTTTTTCAGTGTTGCGCTATTTGCCTTCAACTTTCTTCTTTTTAGACAATACAATGCCCAAATTTAAAAATTTAGGCATCGTATTGTCTAAAAAGAAGAAAGTTGAAGGCAAATAGAAATTTAAAATTAAAAATTTTTAGGCCAGGTTTTCTACACCTCTAATCATCCTTGCTACAATCCCCCCAGTCCTCCACAGATGCTATATATTACTGTTGAAGTGAGCAGCCAGCGAGGCTTAGCAGCAGTGCTCAGAGAAGGCATTTCCACCCAGCAGGGCTCCCAGGGACCCCGCAGAGGCCGGGCGGGAATTGCATCACACGGCCCGGCAAAGGCCGGGTCCATCCCTGCCACGCCCTGGCTGCCAGGGCACCGCAGCACACGGGTCACACATGGAACTGAGGGGCACACGGGTCACACACAGCACTGAGGGGCACACGGGTCACACACACTGAGCACTGAGGGGCACATGGGTCACACACAGCACTGAGGGGCACACGGGTCACACACAGCACTGAGGGGCACATGGGTCACACACAGCACTGAGGGGCACATGGGTCACACACAGCACTGAGGGGCACACGGGTCACACACACTGAGCACTGAGGGGAACATGGGTCACACACAGCACTGAGAGGCACATGGGTCACACACAGCACTGAGGGGCACACGGGTCACACACTGAGCACTGAGGGGCACATGGGTGACACACAGCACTGTGGGGCACATGGGTCACACACTGAGCACTGAGGGACACGTGGGTCACACACAGCACTGAGGGGCACACGGGTCACACACAGCACTGAGGGGCACACGGGTCACACACTGAGCGTGGACTGGCACGCACGGCCCTGTCCCCAGACCAGACCGGGGGATGTGACATTTAAACCCCAAACCTCCTCTGTGGCCACGTGCTTGCCAGCTCCACACCCCCCTGCAGCCCTGGCTCCCAAGGGCACCTGCAGCTCATAGTGGCACCCACACGCCGGGCACAGAGCGTGAACCAGCAGCCGGCGACCAGGGAATGCCAGGGCACAATTTATACTACAGTCATGTGAAATGAGTCCTCTCCATAATCCAGTTTCTATCATTGCATAATTAAAAAAAAAAAAATCCCTTACACTGTGCAGTGCTATTGGTGAATGCAGAAGGTGAAGAAAATTTAATTTAGTTTCATATTCTTTTTTTTTTTTTTTTGTCGCTATAACAGCCTCTTGCCTGCCTTTTAAATTCAATTTTACTTGTGACAACCAGCATGACCAACAGAGGACAGCACATCCATTTCTTTTAATGATTAAAAGATCCTGAGCTTGAAGCTGCCATTCACTTTTTCACTCAGGAAATGAGAGTGACAGGCAGAGTGGAGCAGTGTGCCGTTAAGTAAGCCAGCCAGATTAAAAAGGCCTTTTTGCAATTAACTAGAGCTGTTTTGAATTCCAGGAGATTACTCAAAAGTAAATCTACTTCTAACCAGGCATTATTGCTAACGAAACACTGTGGGTGCATGTTGGTGAAACCTGAGTCTGTATTTTGATGCATTTGTTTACTGAGCACTGCAATAACAGTTAAAACACACTTAGGAGTAAAAGCACACTCAGGAGTGTCGGGTAAACTCAGCTAATTCCCCTTCCAAGCTGCTGAAAGACAAGGTGTCTGTAACCAAGTTTTGATTAAATGTGAGTGTTCATAAAACACTGAAGTGAAGCCAACTCCAGTGTTTTTATTGCATTTGATTTGGGGGCAGAGAAGACTCTGCAAGTCATAATGAAATTCAAAGAACAAACTCAAGGATTTCATATGGCTGAGGGGAATTTCATTAAGGAAATCCAATTAACCTGCAAGAGTTACACACATTGAAATCTATTATCTTCCCCCAAAAGCTGGCTTTGTGGTTTTTATAGCAACCTTTGCTATTCCTGGATAAATAATGCTTTATTACAAATGCACTGACATCTTTATATAATTAAGATTATAATAACATCTTCATTTGTCTCTGCTTTGCAAACATTCAATTCTGCTTCCTATGAAACATATGAAATAGTGTTTTTAAAGAAGATATGAGTCAGGATTGGGTGTTAGACACCAGCACAAAGCAGAGATTTAGGAGACACACGAGGAATAATGTGGCTCCTGACAGCATGCGGGTCTGCGTTTGTCGGTCAGGGCCTGATCCTGTCAGTTGCTGAGCTGAATTAATTAAGAGCCTAAGATACCATTAGGTCCATGGGGACTGACAGTGCTCAGCAGTACTTGGTGTTAAAGCCCTTAAATAAAAGCCAACCTACAAATTCCGATTCATGCGAGTAACAATATTGCACACATCTACAGTGGGGACATGAATTATTCACATCAGTGTAGCACGAAAGATGCAAACGGCAAAGCCTGTTTAAAATAACACACAAACACTCCGTGTTTCTGTGATATGTGGGAGGGTTATCATTTGGCCCATTTTTCACTCATATGCATATTCCTTTTATTTGCTGCGTGCATAGGTCTGATATGAGGATGTGGAGAAAATAAATACAGGAGATAGACATCTAATAAATATTATTAGAAAATGAGGAAAGGAGGTTACTGATTAGCATTCTTCCCATATAAAACTATTAGATTGTATCAGAGAAATGTGACTTAAGTGTTTTACCGTTCTTTTTTTTTAACCATTATCTGATCAGAGAAGCATGAAAAGCACTTTATTGCCTTTTTTTTATCCCTGTGCTAGGAGCCCTCTGCAGGAAGTGAAGCTGAATTTCACAAATCTTCCCTTTCTGACGTCTCCCGAATTTCTAGGAATACCCCTTCCCTGTTACTATATTTGGTGGTAGTTTCTAGGAAAAAAAATAATTTTCGGACGGTCTTGGACTCACCACACCTCCTCGCAGAGGACTGTGCGCCCCGGGTCTCCTGGCACGGCCCCCACGGAGTTGAGGAGCTCACGGCTCGGGCTCACAACTCCCGGCGCAGACTGCACGTCTTTGTAGCACTGTTGGAGGAATGAGCATGGAGAAGGAGTGGGAAGGGGAGAGGTGTCTTTGTGGCAACAATGAGTGAATCTTCTCTAGTTTTTTTCCCGGCTGCTGCTCTTTGTTTTTTTGGTTGGTTTTTTTTTTCCCCAGCACTTTTTTTTTTTTCCTTTTTTCAAGGAAGAGGATCTTAATGAAAGAAAAAAAAACCCTCAGGATTTTTTTTTCTCTCCGCTTCCCCCCTCTCCCCCTCCCCTTGATGTGGCCTCTTGTTTAGCTTGTGGCGTGACCGTGATGAAGAAATGTTTCAGGGCGCCTGGCAGGGTGATCTTTTTATGTAATGAGTCAGGATTTTGCCAACGGAAGGAGCCGGCTCGGAGCGAGGACCGGAGGGCTGTCTCCTTTCAAGAACGGGGACCTGCCCGGCGAGCGGCTCCCTGCGCGCGGGATCCCCGCTCGCTGCGGGCGCTGATCCCTTCCCGTTCCCGGCTCTCCGGGGCACCGCCGCGGCCACTGACAAGCGGTGAGTTGCGCTCTCCCTCCGCGCCCCCGCTCCGCGCCGCCCGCCCGCCCGCGGGGAGCAGCGCGGCCCCGCGACGTCCCCGCCGAGGCCGCAGGTGCGGCCGCCGCCCCGCGCCCCCTTCCGCGGGCAGCCGGGGCCGCGCCTTGCGCGGGGATGGGGCGGCTCCGCGGCGGGCGGGCACCGGGGCGTGCGGGCGCGGCCGAGGCACCGCGGTCGCGGAAAGGCGCCCCGGGAGCGGCGGCGGCGGCGCCGCGGGGCCGCGCATCGGCGGGCACGCGGCCCCGGGCAACTCCCGGCGCGGCCCCGCGCCCACCTGCCGCAGGCCGCGGAAGGTGCGCGCCGGGCGGGGCGCCGGGCCCGCCGCGCCCCGCGGGGAAGGGGCGGCTCGCGTGCCGGCACCCTCGGCAGCCACAGGTGTCCGCTCCCCACGGTGTCCGCTCCCCACGGTGTCCGGCCACCGCTCCCGTCCCGCTGCCTCCGCGTGGCTGCTGCGGCGACTTTGGCCAGGCACAAATAACTCCAAATGCGCGTGCGGAGGTGGTCGATACGCACCGTCTGATCAGGTCGTGTGAAAGCCAGAAAAACCTCCTAAATCATCACAGCCGTAAATAAGTCAGTTAAAATGTATAGTCTGTAGAAAGAGGAATTATTTAAACATTTCTACTTAGCCAGAATTTCCATCAACTTCTCTGCGTTCTCCTTTCAGGATGTATTTATAAAGGTGTTTATAAAGCAGTTCAGCTAGGACAGCATTCTTCAGCTCCACATTTTGATTGTCAAAAGTAGAATGAATGTAATAGTGGCTTTTCAAGGACAATAATTAGTTTCTTTTAAAGTAACTGACGGCATTAACCTACTTCAGCCATCCAAGTGTGAACTATAATGCTTTTAAACATGGATTTTACATAGAAGCTCTGTTGGAATTATAAAGTGAAGATTTAGACTACGTTCCTTTTGTCTGTGAATTTCTACTTTTCCTCTCATCTTTAAAAGATCTTATGAAACAATATTGAGGGTAGTAAGATGATGATGTAGAGCTGAATACTTGAGACTATCATTGTTAGTAGGAAGAGACCTGTTTTCAAGTAAAGTGAAAATAATTTCTAGTTTATTGTACAAATAACAAATTTAGAATAATGACAGCTATTTCTCTATAATGTGTCAACTTAATTCTGAAATACAGTGAAACAGATAAATAATAACTTGTTACACACTTTGAGAAGTCTTAATAGATATTTTGAGTGCTGAGTCTAATAACTGTTATTCTGTGTCATTTTATAGACACTTAGAAAAGTTACTTCTTACCTGCTTGATAAATAATTCATAAAATACTAATAAAATCAGTTAGTATCTGTTAGCAATTCTTGCTGTCCAGAAAGTGAAGGAGGATGTATTGCGACTGGGCTATAACGTTCTCTTTTGATTAGGCTGAAAATTACCCACTCTATAAGCAATGACTCAGTCGATTGGGCATATCTCACAAAGATACTTTACTTACAAATTGAATCTTGGAAGGCTGTGGTTCCAGAGTCGGGGTTTTGGGGGCGAGATGAGCTTATGTTTTATCCAACTGGCCCACAAAGTCCCGCTTTTGGTGGTCACTTTGTTCTGCAAAAGAAAACAGCACATTATGGCTCTTACATTGGACAGTAAACTTAGTAGTAAACTACTGCTGCACTTAGTAAAGGGCTATTATACACTTTAAATAAATAATCATGTTCTAGCTTTAGTGTTGTTTTCAGCAATAAAAAGGTGGATAGAAAAGAAAATAATTCCGAAAGTTAAACATAAAAGTTTTCTAACTATTGGTGATGTTTTTCTCTTAAAAAGCCAGCAAATGCTGAAGAAAAAGTCACCTTTCAAAGGGTGCAATACAGGTGAATTGGGAGAAAAGCTGGTCCCTAGAAAAGAGAGACAGTTTAAACCTTGAAAAAATCTTTTAAACACTGGTAGCATTTGTATTGTCAACCCCCACCTCATTTTTTTTTTTGCTCACAAAGTATTCAGTTGTGATGTATCTCTTGAACGTTCCTTTCTGTGTGTCTGTGTGTGTCCACATGTGTACAGTCTTTATCTATGATTCAATTTAAAGACTGCTGATTTTTGTACTGTTAAAAGTGTGAAATATATTATTGTGAGTAAGGCAGTGTAAACCTGAGCTTGGTAGAGCTGTTTAAGTTCATGTTACTATTTACATTTTGGTATCAATATCCTAAAGTATTGAAGTATTATTTTTACTTAAAAGTTACATAGCTGTACTTTGCTCATGGGATTCTAGAAAGTGTTGAAAACACTGGTAGAGGTACTGAACTTTCTCATGGTTCCAAATACACTGCACAGATATTTAACACTGAATGAACACATGATACACAATGTAATTTATACAATGTTTCATATATGCAGCATATTCACACAAAATACATGCAGGAGCTCAGCTAGTGTAAATGTGTCTGTCGTAGTTTTGACATTTAATGCCAGCTAATCACCTGCTTGAGCTACACATAAACATCCAGACATTCACATTGTGATCATATTGTCACTATAGTCAGGCTAATTTTAAGAGTTGACCTATACAGACTGAATCAATTTGAGTATTTCAAAAAGGCCTGGAAATTCAGCTGAAGTGAGACAGTGACGCACTGTTAAAGCAAAGTTGTTGGCATGTGATTTATCTGATGACTATGTGCAGGATCTGTACATTTATGCAAGTGAATATCAGGATCAGTTATCAAGTTTTTCTATAGAATTCTCATATTTTACATTTTATAGCAACATAATTGCAACAAAAGTGGAATAGGATGTGTCCAAACCTCAGTGCAACAAATTCCTCACTTGTTTAAGACTGAAATCTGATTTGGAGGAGCTTAGGTCAGAACTGTGGTGCTGATGTACTTTTTAGCTACTGTTTTCCATGAAAATAATACTGTTCAGAAGCAGCAGTTATGAAAGGTTAAATTTTCATAAGCCAATTAAGTTAAAAACATAACTGTAGAAATTTTTTATTTTTGACTTATACTAGAGTATATTAGTACTTAGTTTGTGAATACATTCCAGACTTGTCCAGTCTTCATAGTTGTCAGATTTGGACTGGTTTAATTCCTGTGGTCTGTTCTCCAGTATTCTGAGAATGTAAGAGCAGAGAATCAGAGATGAGAAAGTGGATCAATGTGAGGATCTTGCTTTAAGAGAACAGAGAAACACATCCAAACATCAGCAAAGATCAGCTCTGCTCTGCTGAAATACCACAGTTGCTTCTTACCAACTGTTACTTAAAAGCTCTTAAATTAAAATGTAATTTTGTGCAGCTACTTCCAGTAAGATGTAAAGATCACACTTTGTTAATCAGCTATTTTTAGATTATTTTTTAAAATAGATTCTATCTGCTATCTGGCTCTCTATTGAGGATATATAAAATTCACTTGCATTGCTTCTTGCACCAATAACCTAGCTATAGAATTAATACACTATTTAAATGATCAATGAGCAGTGTTAAAGAACACAGTTATGCTTCTGTAGGCCTTCCTCATACAATATTTTTATTCACATTTTTTCCCATCAATAAGCTTACAGAAAGAGCTCCTGTTTGTCTCTGGTGTGCAGTAGAACAGACAGTTTGCTGCTGCTATAGATATCATGCATATATTTTAAACTTTGAATGGATGTTCATTTTGCATGTGTTACTTAAATTAATGATTATTAGAGAAAACATTGATAGATTTCCTAAACATCTGTGTTATAAAAATTTGATGTCTTTCCCTCACACTGGTTTTCCCAGCAGGTTTGTGTGCAGCTTGGGGTGCTGGCCTCAGAGCTGAGACTCCTGAAGTGCACTGTGTACCCACAGTATTAATAATTAAATACCTGGGATCAGTCTATCTTGCCATTTGATATGAAAAAAGAAATTTACAGAAGATAAAAAATAGATGGTATGTTTGTAATAAAAATTAAATTTTCTTCAGATAAAAATGTCATTAATTATTGAAAAAAAATTTCGAAATATCAACCACAATTATTTATTGCATTTATAATTTACAAAATTGAAAGTCCTACTAGCTGTCTTTCTATTTAGAATAAATTTAAAACTACATTTTTAGAATTACTTTTCTGCATTTTTAAGCAAATCTTTAAAAAACCAGCTCACAAAACACACTGAATCAGCAGAGGATTACCAAATGGCCTAATCTGTTTACTTTTGAAATTTTATTGAAAGCAGTGAAAAGATCAGGATCTCCCCTGGAATCCTGTGGCATGGTTTGGAGCTTGCTCTGGGGCCTGTATTTTCTGCAGCAAGGCTTCAACCTTTGACACCTCCTGATCCTGTGTTGCAACAGAAAAGTTTTGTGACTCCCCTCTGATCCAGCCACAGAAAAAGAGACAGAGAGCTAACGACCCCAAGCTTGGAAACTCATGACCTGGAACAATTAAAATTTTGCCTTACTAAAGGCTGCAGAATCAGTTGTCCTTCCCTAGGAAATTATCCAGAGTTTTTCTGGGCAAGAGCACAGACCCCCGAGGTGTGAATTTTAAACTGTGCCTTGTTCTTTGCTCCCTGTTGCAGTGTTACACACCAGCCTTGCTTCCCTGGGGAGAACCTGGAGCTCAGGCTGCAGGAAAGGTCTGTGCAAACACAAACCAGTCTGTTCAGGCATATTTTTCAAGGACATTACTCAAAAGATAATTTTACCTGCCTTGGAAATTGTATTAGAAGCCTGTGAAGCAAAAACAAAACAAAGAAGTGGATTTTTGTAAATGGCTTTAAGAGATTTGGGGAAAACCACTGCTACCACCTGGAAGCTGCAGCTGTAGTGGAAGACATGGTAGAAAAGTGGTTCAGACCCTGTGGCTTGAGCTTCTGGTGGAATCAATGAATTTAAACATCATTGGCCCAATTCACAGTGCACATCAGGTAATAACTACACTAATCCCTTGCTGCAATGCCATATGCTATTCTCAGTCAAACAGTGCAAACATGTAGGGAATTTGGTAAAGGTATAAACATGGAAAAAAGAAACAAAGAAACAGGGTTTTGCCTGTGGTCAAAATGCCCAAATAGTTCCTGTTTCCAAGGTTTGGGGGCAAGGGCAATAATTCTGTATTCAAGTGTGAATGGATAGGCCGTATTCAGCTTGGGAATTTTTTTCAGGACCTTTCCTAAAACACCTACAGAGTAAATAAAGATAATATCAGCAGAACTAAAGCCCCATGCATTAGTGAGGTAACTGGCTTTGTGAGGTAGCTGACAGGGCTACACCTTAGCAGTTGGCTCCAGAAGGTTACTCCTGATCTCTGACTCCCTGTTGGATACAAAGCTCTTTATTTACCAACATCTTTTTTAATATTGGAATTGTAATTCTCTACAGATGGGCTCCAGAGTTTTGTTGTTTTTTTGGGGTTTTTTTCCTGTTTGGAGTATACCTGCTCCTAGCTCAGCTCAAAAGAAGTCATAAAAATTTGAGTCCTATCTGATTTCCTAGTATCCTGAATACTTACATTGTTGATATAAATGAAAAACTTTTGAACAAAACTGTTTTGATATTTTCAGTTAATACTGTTAAATTTGATTTAGCTGTTAATGGGGGAGACTACAATTCAACACTATAAAGTAGTATTTTTGCTGTTTGAAGTATCTCAGCTTCAGTCAGACAGTCCAAATCTTTTACTGCAATTATGGCCTTTCTATATGAACCAATATAAAATAGTATCTGGACACTAATTTTTTAAATAGAGATTTTCATTTGTAGGTCAGGACAAGAATTAAAAAAGAACACATACACCCCCCCCCAAAAATATAAAATGTGTTTTGTCATCTACAACAAGGCATGTATTGGCAAGGCAAAGTTGTAGGACAAGGTGAGAAAAATAATTCCAGGATGTTTCAGGACTGGCCCATATGCATCAGGAAAAATAAGTCAATACAGTAATTGTACTGAAAGGGCATTTCTAGATGTTACACATTGCTGCTGTTAAAAATTTCTGGTTTATGGTCAGCAAAATCTGGCTTTCTGCTTTGATGCTGCTGCTGTTTGTATTAAAGCTTTTTTTTGTAATCAAAGGCCTGTTTGAAATCACCTCTGCACACACACCTCTGTCAGTAGGTGCCTGGATGCTGCTCTAAATCAGAAGTATCTCCACTGAATTCACTGGATTTACATCCATAAAAAATGCAAGTGAGATCATGTTAAAGTTTCTGGAACCTGAGAAAATAATTTAGTTAATTTTTCATATTTTAACACGAACAAAGGACAAATGAATTACACAGAACATAGTACTAAATAATGTGAAGAATTGAGGATTGCTTTTTTCAACAATATTATTGTTATATTTTATGCTTTGTACTACAAGAATCTGTGAAGAATATGCCTGTTAGGTGCTATTCAGTGTGGATTGTTCTAAAATAGTAACTTTTCACTGGGCATGCCAATTGAATGGGCATAACTTAATGTGCTACCTGTTCTACTAATGACATTTATAAATATGGGGATAATTCAGCCTACTAAATTGGGATTCCACTTTGTATTTTCACTCTGACTGGTCCTTCTGTATGTATGGAAAACTGCCCAGACAGTTCATTGGAAAATATCTTAAAATTCTTTAAAATGAAAGATGTTCTATTATTCTATTATGTATAACTTTCTTCTATAAACTAATGTTCACTCTGCCAATGAAGTATCCTTAAAAATGAGAAATGCAGGTCAAGAGTTAATGATGATTATCTTGGGGTTTTGTTTTGGTGGGGTTTTTTTGGGTTTTGGGGGGTTTTTTTGAGAGCTGAAAGAAGAAATCTTGTCCTGTCTTGTCTTCATGCAAAATGTATTTTACTTCCCAAAAATAGTATTTCTAAGATAGCTGCCTCAGAATTCACTTTATTGCATGGACAGAACCATTTTCTACATCCAGAGCTAATGAAGTAGAGGATCCTTGAAAAACTACAGTTTTACTCTCCAGTGGACTAACAGAAAATTATGAAATCCTGAGGTATTGTTGGAAAGTTGTTCTAACTTAAAAATCTTTTCTTTATAGTTTCATTCTTGATGTTCCACAGCATTCACCACTTCCTGCATGGCTTTTAACCGCAGGGAAAATGAGGGACTTTTGGGGGCAGATGTGTTTCCATTACACTATCATAATGCCCCTAAAAATCCTTATTGCTCTTGCAGTATTCTTCTGTATTGCTGGGCCTGGTGAGAACTACTTGAAGACCTAGCTTATAAATACAGCTTTTCTCTAAAAACACTTTAAAAACACCACTGAGTTTTATTTTGCTTGTCTTATATTATTTTTAGTTGTGTTTACTGTTGCTTAAAATATAAATGGCAAGATATGCAACCACCTGTTGGTAAATAAATGTCATAAGTCATAAATCCAAGGGACATGCTGGTAACTGCATGGGATTATCAAGAGGGGTCTGTTTGGGTTTAAGAGTGAGAGCTTCATTTTTTGGGTACAACGAACTTGTTTTTTATGTAAGAATTTAGCATTTATGTATCTGAAAATATGACAGCTGTTTTGCAAGCTAACTCAAATGACTGCTGTAAGTGAGCCTCACGTAGAATATTTACTGCTTTTGGAAACACGCATCAGGTCATTTATCAAATGCATAGATCTGTCCAGTACATTTCTTTGAATGCACCAAAATATTAAAATCATGTTTTAATACAGTCTCAAAATAAAATTATGATTATACCTGCGGAAGTCATTGTGGGTTGTCAGGTGTTCTATGCTTACTCAGCTCAGAAGGTCTTTGTGTGGCCGTACCTCGTGCTGAGGCCTCTGGGGAAGGCACAGTCCATGGGAGTGCAGTCCCCTCCCAGGAAGGGATGGATGGCCCAGGCACAGTTTATTCCTGCTGGGTGGCAGGTTCCCCTGGAGCCTGCAGTCTTTCAGTTCTGGAAGGAGAAGGCAGAAGATACACACGTAAACATGGTTTGTTGTTGTCTGGGTCTTGCAGAGCAATACATCATCAGTTTGACATGTGCAGTGCTGGGAACATTTATTTGAGTAGCTGAGTGTGGGGCACACGCAGTACTGCCACTGCTTTGTGGTAAATGTACTCTTGACTTCACTGACTCGTTTAACAGAAATTATACATGGTGTTGCAGGGTCCCTCTGACAGGGTCTGCTCATATCTTTAAATACCCTTCAAAATATTTGGTGAGATAGGAAAGAAACTAACTGGGTGGATTCACCATACCACTTTAATATAAAAGTTTAATCTCCAGGGAGATGCTCTTCTTCATTCTGCTGTAGGAATGTGTCTCACTTTTCACACAGCAAAATCTTACAGGTCACGTCCTCCAGGTCACAAAGCAGGCTTGCTGAAATGACTGAGGCTCAGAACTTTTGCTGCCCAGAGAAATACTACAGGAACAAGAAAACTCCTTTCTGGAAGGATGGAATGAGCAGTGTTAAACAATTTTGTATTCACAGGTCAAAACACACTGGAATATGTCCTTCAACATAAAACACTGCAAGATGCAACAGCATTTCAAATTAATGTATAGACAGAGAATAGAAAACAGCCATTACATTAATTTGAAATTTTCATATCAATATTTCAGTGCTCCTGTTTGGACTGCTAATCACAAGATGATCCCTAGCACCTTCTGATTTAAATGGAAGGTGTAACACAGACTGGCTTGAGGCTTATCCAGCCTTTATAATTACAGTTACTTATAAGGTATGAAACTAATTGAACTATTAATATTAGTCATCAGTCAAAAACTCATTAGAGTTTTTTTGCATGTTTTTATTCTAAACATGCCAAGGGTATGTTCAGCATTCTTTTTATTTCCAAGTGACACTCCTAGGTAAAGACTCTGGATCTAATAGAAAATGTTTTTTAAAAAAAGCACACAACAGCAAATGACATATAACTGTAATTTGGTTTTACACATTTTTTTCACTGAGGAATAAGCATTAGAAAATGAGAGTCAAGCATAAGGTTTGAGATGTGTACTTAAATTTCTGAATTCAAATACTTGCTTCAAATAATTTATTTTAAATATTTAAATCATTTGGTATGAAACAGTATGTCACAAAAATCTTTGGATCTGATATAGCCTCAGAGGAATGACTGCAAAACTCATCTGTAAAACTGTCCACTGCAGCTAACAGCACATTGGGAATAGGCTGTGAGTAGGTTTCAGTGTCAAACATTTTGTAAAAGATAATACTCTTTCTCTGTTTGTTTTCTTAAATATTAGCAAAGCACAGATTTCTATTAGCCTCTTCTTAGAGAGTTTAGTTTCTTTTAATTATAGGGCCAAGAGACATTAACAAGAACAAGCAAATTGCTCTAAAAGTTAGAACAGTAGCAAGTAGGTAATTTTTCAAGTAGAATTTCCACAGTGGAAAAGATATTAAGTATTTGTTATGTGCCAAGAAATGAGTAATACAAGAATATTTAGATTCTTTTACAAAATGGAAGAGCATTAACAACATTTTAGTTTTTTATTATATATAAAATTCTTGATTACCAACAGTCTCATAATAGAGAAACAAAAGCAGAAGAAAGGACATGCAATTATTAAATAGACTGAATAAGAGACATTAATCTCATTTATGTATTGAATAAGCCCATTTTTATCTCAAGTTTTGAACACTGCCTCAACTGTATGTAGACTATTTAAGACATGATTCAGAATACAGAACTTGGCTGATCCATTGTAAGAGTGTTTATTTATTTATTTGCTATGTTATTTCACTTCCAGTGTGTCAGATCCAGTTTGTTACCAGATGAAGAGAGTGTCAGTTCTGCTCCAGCCCATTCTGAGGGGTCCCTGTGCAGCTGCTGTGCTGTCACCTGTGGGGAGGTGACTCCAGAGTCAGGCTCTGAGCACAGGCAGCAGCTCTGGGCTGTGGCACAAGGAGGCTGCTCAGGAAAGCTCAGATAAAGGCACCTAATTCCACAGTGGGCTAGAGAAAGAGGTGGGAAAGGGAAGAGCTCTAGCAAAGGGAGTAGCAACTGCAAGAGAGAAACCACTACTCACATGCTGTAAGTCTATAGAATAAGGAGCAGAATAAATATAGAATGTAGAATAATACATGAAATATAGAATAAAGCAGAAGAATGTGGCCAGAAGTAAAGGGGAAGGAAGGATTCATCACAGCCTGCAGTGGAGCTTTTTTCACTGAATGCTTAGTTATGGAAGCAGAAGTGCATACAAAAATAAGCTCCGTGAATAAATGGTTACTACTACATTTCTCAATTATATTAAATTGTTTCAGACTTTGTTAATTTGTTGCCATTGATGGCTGATTAAAGATGGTTAAATGGTTTTATTTTTCCTTAACTTTTGAATGTATACAATTTTATTCCCATATTTAAATAATTAGTGCTAAGATTCTGACTAAAGTGGATCTTTGTCATTGTATTATCAACAAGTGCAAATGTCAGTTATGAAGTCTATGGCTGACATAATTTCAGCTATAGCTGGAAGAAAACTGTGTACGTACACTTTAGCAACACAAGGAATCAATGAAAGTGAATATAAATCATTGAAAGAAACCACATATTTTATAATCAGACTTTTATCAAGATATGACCTATTTTATACTTAAGAAATTAAAATAGAAGCTGAAATGTTAGGAGATTATTAATTTCTTCGGTAGTTAGACTTAACAGGCGAGATTACCCAATAATTTACTGAAAAACTGGAATTCTTAACCAAAATTAATTTTGTTGACTACTGGGGCTTGGATTTTTTTAAGGAAAAGCCACTTCAAAATTTTCCTTACTTTTCCAATGACAGATTGTATTTTTTATATTCCTTTAAAAGCAAAATCTACAGCCTTGCTGTGACTGCTGTCTGAGGCTTTTGGAGATCTCAGCTGTGAGAACAGTGTAAATACCAAACAAGATTGCAGCAGGTTAATTTTGATTCAGAGGAAGCAATAAGATATTCCTATATGAATCCAGGGAATCTGTGCTGGTCGTTTTTGGAGTGCTGAACTAATCCATAACAAAATTATCCCACGACTGCAGTTGGCAATATGGACAACTGAGGGAGCCCACAAGATCCCCAGACTGTAGTTTGAATCAAATGTGGACTTTGTGATATAATCTGGGCTCATACTCAAATAGTCTAGCTTTAGTATTTTGATAATTCATATAAAATCTTGTTTTATGGATTTATCCTAACTTGTACCAGAATGTCACCATTTTATTCTTTTAAAACTCTGGGTGTGTCTAAAACAAAAAAGGAAACAAATCCCTTCTTCAAACATATCTGAAATGAAAACATCTCCAGAGTTCTGTTTCCAGTCTGAGCATCAGGAGGTGAATGTTTCAGCAGGAGGTTCTGCATTTGAAGTCTAGGCCCTGATTTGCCTTCTGGACAGTGACAGGGAGGTGCCAAATGCCTGAGTGGAACCCAGGTGAGGTCAGGTGGCACGTGCCAGCATGTGCCAGCACTTCACCTGTCAGAGGGAGCAATACAGCTGCCACCCGACTCCAGAATGTGTTTTGATGTGGAATAGTCAGCTCTGGCCTTAAACACCGTATCTTTCTGTACCAGCTCCATTCCTGCCTCCTCCTTTCCAGATTAGCTAGTTCATAAACAGAAAGTTCCAAGAAGTCAAAAAACCCACCCAAAACCAGAGGTAAGTAAAGACGGAGCCACAGCTGCAATTTCCTGATAACAACCCTTGCAAACATCCCAGAGGGGACTGTGAGTGGAAAAGTGACACCAATTTGGCTGCTCAAGGCTCTGGATTTTCGTCTAAAGCAGGACCCGGCCATGCCTGCAGTGTCCCAAAGGCCACCTTTGCCAGGCTGTCACAGCACACCCCAGTGTGGAGGCAGTGTCCCAAAGGCCACCTTTGCCAGGCTGTCACAGCACACCCCAGTGTGGAGGCAGTGTCCCAAAGGCCACCTTTGCCAGGCTGTCACAGCACACCCCCGTGTGGAGGCAGTGTCCCAAAGGCCACCTTTACCTGTCACACACCCCCCAGTGTGGAGGCAGTGTCCCAAAGGCCACCTTTACCTGTCATACACCCCCCAGTGTGGAGGCAGTGTCCCAAAGGCCACCTTTGCCAGGCTGTCACAGCACACCCCAGTGTGGAGGCAGTGTCCCAAAGGCCACCTTTACCTGTCATACACCCCCCAGTGTGGAGGCAGTGTCCCAAAGGCCACCTTTACCTGTCACACACCCCCGTGTGGAGGCAGTGTCCCAAAGGCCACCTTTACCTGTCACACACCCCCGTGTGGAGGCAGTGTCCCAAAGGCCACCTTTACCTGTCACACACCCCCGTGTGGAGGCAGTGTCCCAAAGGCCACCTTTACCTGTCACACACCCCCGTGTGGAGGCAGTGTGGCAGCCGGGCCGCCCCGGTCGCTCAGCAGGGCCGCCCCGGTCGCTCAGCAGGGCCGCCCTGTGCCTCTGTCCTTTGTGCTGCAGCTCGGCCGCTCAGCAGGCACAGCACAGGGCACTCCTGTCACTGCTGTTCTATCGTTTCACTTTTTCTCAGATGTCATCCACAAGACAGCAAGAGCTGGTGAACTGCTGCATCTTGAGTTTCATCTCAACCAACTCCCAAGGAGAATTTCCTTTATCACTCTTAATAATGGAACTGGAAAACTGCCTTCAACTCTGGTTGGCAAACAAAACACTCATGCTTTAATGACACAGTTTTAACTGATTTCTCTAGGAGCTAACACCAGCAGAGTATTATATATTATATATATCCTTGAACAGCAATTCCACAGAGTATATTACAATTCCTGTAACAGCAAGTTTTATCTCATTGCACAAAAAAAACCACAAAACATTTCTAATGAAGCATGATATTGGTTGGTATTGACATTATTATAAATTTCCATCTTTTTATGGAGAACGTAAAAATATATTTTCCTATTCTGCCTATAGAACACTTGAAAATAATTAAGTATTTTATGCTAAGGCACCAGACTATTGCAGTATTACAGAATTACTCAAGCAGAAACGTGGAGTTTTAGATATATTGGGAGACAGGGACTTTGTTTCTGTTCTGTATGATGGTTCTGCATCTCCCAGTCCTGATATATGCATTTAACACTCAGGTGTTAAAAGTTGGAAAGAACAAATAATAAATTCAAGGCGCTGTACCTGATTTTGGAATACTTTTAGGCTGTAAATTATTGTTGCAAATCTTTAGCATCAGGAATACAGAAAAATTTAGGCTGAGAAAAGGCATGGGAACTAAAAAATAGAAGAGTAAAGCAAAGTTTCTAGACTTGCCAGCTGCTCCTTACATCAACATTCAGTTCTGCTGCTTGCTTTGACTGTAGCAAAAAGATAAACATTTTCTTGTTGCAAGTTAACAAACACTGCCATGCATGACAATTTGATAAGGGGTATTAAGAGTTCTATCAGGAGTTTATTAGTTCATTTGAGCAAGAGATAAACATGGTAGAAAGTTCTGATGTGCTGCTGAAAAATGAAAAATGACTGGTCAATGCCAAAAACAGTTCTGCTGAAAAAAGGGTTCTATTCTTAGTGACTGGAGCTTTCATTGCTATAGACAATTTTTCTTTCTGTTTGTAGTAAATTCCTCAATGTATCTGCCTCCTTTGTAAAATTACACCATTGCTCTGTGGGTCTGTGTTTTCAAGTGGTACAGATAGAGCAGACTGAATTCTACACTCACAAGGACCTCTGTTAAAGTCATGGCACAACAGGCAGAATTTGGTTTAGTGACGGTCTCTTCTGCTTGGTGTCTTTTCACATTAACTGTAGATGTTGAGATCTTGTCTCCATGTTTTTGTCTGTTGTAGTTATTGAAGACAAAATACAGTGTATTTAAGTATCCTTTAATTTAGCACTTGTCTAATTAAATTCTTGCCTGATTATTTTTCTGATGTAGGCATATATGCCTTACAACAAATTGATAGTGTTTGACTCTTGATATTGTCACTAAATCTGTATTTGAACTAAGACCTGCCAAAACAAATATTAAAAATCCTGCCATATATCCCAAATGGCACGTTTAGTTTCCTTTTTGTAAGGCAATGCAGTACAATATAAACAAGGAGAAACAAAGAGATAACACAGTGATGTAGGATCAGAGTTTACTGGCAAAACCTGTATGTGGTATATTAATCACAGATGATAAAACAAAAGCAAAAAGGTCTTCCTAGATTGCAGGAAGAGACCTATATTCTACACTGTAATGACTTTTTTGTATCATTTGTTTTATCGAACAATTATTTTAGAAAATTTTTGGGGTTTTTCCCTTACAAAAGTAACCATACTATTCTGTAGTCCCTTTCCCCCACTTAGACAGACTTTAAGGCACCGCTAACATTTGTGGTATGCCAATTTTTTTGGCTCTAGAGAAATAATAACACATCTAGGAGAAAATTCTGACATTTTGTCTGGCAAATGTTGTTACACTTTGTCAAAGGCATAAGAACTTACTTTAATATCCTGTCTCACAATATGGGGTAAAAGGGACAAGAAAATTAGGATAAGATCAAATGTACACGTTAGCAAGATGTGATCAGTAACCAGTCAGGTAATATTTTCAGTTATTTGCAAGACCTCAATGATTCCCAGATGCCTGAAGTAGGGCAAGGGTAAGGACTAGGAACTTCTGGATTTGATGGTTGCTTGGCACTGTGGAATGTAGGTACCTTTGCCCATTGTATAAGAATTGTGTCCTTTGCCTTGGCTTCCCACTGGGAGCTCAGACTGAATACACTGACAGTCTTTCAGGCCTTCCTTCCTCCTTTACTAAAGGCACAGGCACGGGAGATGCATGTGCAGGATGTTTATGGAAAAAAATAAAAAGTTTTATAACAACTGAATGCTCATGACAGTGTCACACATACAGATATTTGGTGAAAGTAAACAAACTCCTGTCTGTTTTGAAGGAGAAAGAGCAAGGGCTTTTCCCCCTCTGTATAATTAGACACTAAATCACATTCTGCTAAAAGGCAGAAATTGTTTATGTGCAGATGCTTGGATTCCTTGAAAATATTAAATTTTCTTGGTAGCATATTTATTCACCATATTAATATTAGTCAACCAGGGGTTACTATTTTTGAAGTTGAACTACTCTGAGGCTAATAGCACAGAAGTATTGCTATTGGCAAGTTAAATATTTTCCATTAACTAAATAAGTTCAATAATTTAATAAATTAATTTTTTACTAATTTATGAAATTCACATATTTAGTTGCTTATTCTGGCTTCCTCTGATTCTCCAGTCTAGAATATTAAAACTTAGACAACGGACCAGACAGTGACACACATGTAAATTGAGGGGTGGGATATGGCCTTTATAAAACAGGGCACTAAACTTAGAGGTCTCTTCGTACAGGAGACAGTTCCACTATTAAACAACTGGTGCTAAGAGCAGTTCTAAGATTCAGAATGTCAGCAGTCTGAGAAGATGGTCTATAAGGTGTACATTTCAATTTAAGTCTTCTGTGAAGCTAAAAGCTTCTTGCAGTGCAATGGAATTCCTCCAAAGGATGTGGTGTTTAACACCAGCAGACCTTTGTGTGACAATCAGCAGATACCTGTTTTGTCAAAGTCTGTATTGTGATAATCAGCAGGTAACATCCTATGAAACTACTGTACCTTGGCTGTGACATGAAGGAAGCAGGATACTAATGGATCATTATGGGAATTTATGCAGGCCTGTATCATAAATAGTCACCGGTGAGAATGCAGGAACAAGGAGAAATGTCCCAGATGAGCTGACTGGCTGCCTACAGGAGCATCACACTGCTTAAAGAATCAGCTCTTTCAGCTTCACACCAGCTTAGCTGAGGGTATTTCCTAAGATGAATAGATCACATAAGGCAAGCACAGAAAACAGACAGATAGCATTTGTCTTCTGAGGTTTAAGAATATTTTGCTTAGTCTGTGCTGTAAGGAACTAATAAAATGAAGATAAAATGGAAGCGAATATTGTTTGATAACATTTGTCTTATATTGGGTCTGACAGATTCAATGTTTAGGGTTGAATAAAGCTCATATATCATAAAAGACCACTTATCTAGCACTTAGACTCATTTTCCTGCCTAAAGCAGATTTTTTTTACTTTTTAAATTGGGTTCTATTAGATTAGGTTGGGTCTCACACATCACTGCAAAAGTAATCTACAAAGGCACTTCAAGGACCCCTTCATTTAAAACAACAGGCCAGCAGGAGGTTGGTTTTTTTTGCTTATTTGTTCGTTTTTTTGGAGAATGCATATTGGAAGCAGGCCCTGATTCAGAAACTCCTGATTTCAGAATATTTTGTAGGGAATTTGGAGGTGGAGAAGCTGTTCTGAAGTAATGGCTCTGAGGTGGTGCACCAGGAGCACTGCACAGGAATTTATCCCAACAAGCTCTGATGTTTATCTCTGCTCAGATAATGCACCTAGTCTGCTCTTACATCATGTATTCCAGTTGTGGTTAGAATTACATAGAGTTCTTTCTGAATTAAAAAAAATATAGTATGAATTAAGAATCCTCACAGGTTATTATGAAACAGACATAAATCTTGCAATATATAAATTGCAAGAAATAAATAGCACCTTTGATGCAAAGCTGCTATTTAGTTGTACTTGCAGCCTTACTCACCTTGTACAACCCCAAATATAATTTGATCTTCTACATTTAAAACTGTGTGTTTCCATATTGAAATTGTTTTAATAGGAGATGTGTTAGTTAAGCATTGCTAAACAGATATTATGTTCCTGAGTAACAGTTCAGTATTTATTACTGCAGTAAAAGACCTCCAAGACACAAGAATGGGGTAGCAAAGAGAGGATCTTCCCAAATCCATGCAACCCAAGTACTGTCAGAATCATTCTCTCAGTATGTGCTGCTTCAGTATGTGGTTTTTAATCATTAAAAAGTGCAGTCTTTTGTAACTTGAAGATAAGGACTTTAATAAGAATTTTTGTGAATGTGTTACTTTCCTGTTACAATACTTGGAACGCTTTGTTAATCCTGTGTGCCCTAAACCAGGACATCCTAGTAAAGCAGCAAATGGAATGTAACCATGAATGGAACTGAAAGACTATAGTCCTTCTCTATGGAAAAAAAATACTACAGAGCTGAGTGGTAAGTTCTGTACAGAGGAGTATAAACTGAGGAGAGTATTAGAAAGCATTCCTACAAAGCAGGACTAGTTTAGTTCTTAGTGAAGTAACAAATTTTAAAAATTTAATAAATCTTTATTTAGTGATCTTTGATAATATGGGAAGTACATTATATGTAGTTCTATAAATGAAGTATCTATTTCTACATAATTTTTAGATTTACAGCCATATAGGTTGTTAGCCAAGGTCTAAATGTAAGTGATTAAAATAATGAGCAAACATTTCAGAATGCAGGTAATGCATTGTAATTGGTTCTGCCTCATGGCAACAAATGATGATTTAAATGATCATTTAACCAGTACCTATTTAGTTATATATAGCTATATATATACACACACTTACAGTTTCCTTTAGGAGATGCAAAGGAAATACCTCTTTTCTATAAAACCCACATTTTAATGTTTGTAGGGTGACTTAACAGCTTAACCCCCCTAAGGATGGTGTCTGGTTTTGTAGGTAAATCCAGATTCAGAGTAGAATCTTTCAAAACTCAGCAAATTCCTCTTTGAGTCCTACCTACCTTAGAGGCTTATCATGTGAGGGGATGAATAACTCTTTGACAGTACCATTACTCTTCATGGATAAATAGTCCTCTTGTTCATCATGGTCCCTAGATTTTAGATACCCAAAGTAAGGAGGGATTAATTATCCTTAAAGTCACTATGTTCCTTAGAGGATTAAAAAATGAAAAGTCAGCACATTATTTTTCTTACATACAAGATCAGAAGAAATCCTGAAAAAAAGTATTCTAATATTGTCTCATTGTGGCTGCCTATTCTATATATGACACCACTTTATAAACTGCACAAATCTATTCTTGCAACCTACAGATACTCTAAATGACAAAATAAAATTGAGCATCAATATAGAAAACATACTGCATTTATCATGCAGAAATAATTTCTATCTATAAACACATTCTAAATTGAACTAGACAAGGCTCATATCACATAAAAAAAATAAAGTAACTAGACATTTAATTCACAGGAAGTAACATGATCAAAGATAAAGTCTAAATGACAAACAGTCAGTAATTGTCTCTGTAAAATTACTGGCAGTAAGATTTTATGTCATTGTTATCATATTGGTAAAACTTTCTACAGTATAAAAGTATACACTAAATATTGTGTTGTAAAAATCCCTGTGGTATGAGTCATAAAAAAACCCCAGCAGAAACAGGTGTCTCTATTACCTGACAGCTCTACAAGGCTTTGAAATCAGAAACTGATCTGCACAACCATAAGTGTAGCATGCCTTTAAATAAGTAGATGTGTGAGACCATTTTACTTATAATGAAATACAGTAAAATGTTCTTTTGACAGAACATTTTATTCTGAGTCCCTATTTCTATATTTCATCCTAAAAATCACTTTTATAAATTACAAGTGTCACAGAGACCAGTGTGACTTAAAAACCAAATCTCAATCCATGAAAAGACTCCTAACTTAAATAGGCTGTTTTGCTTTTAAATCAACTGGAAACCCAGACCAAATTCCCTTTAACATATTCAGTGTGCCTAAGCTGATTTTGGTTTCATTTCAACACAGCAAATAGTACTGGTGACAGGCAATAACATGAAACTCAAGAGATTTTGGCCGTGATTCTTGCAGAATCTGGAGAATTACTAAGTCTGAAGTATGTGAAACCGGTACAAAAGTGAAGGAATTATCCATGCTAACCTTTTCATGCCTAATTATTTACCAAAGTGAAAGGTTTTTGCTATATTCATAAAACTAAAATCCCAGTTTTTACAACTGTACTGAACAGGAAGGGGACCTCTCCTGTTAAATGCAGAGTGATTGAACATTGGAGACTGGAAATGCTGGTTGATAAAAATGGCTGGTGCCTGTCCCAGAGGAGGTTCTCTCTGAACACAGACTCTGATAGCTGGATTAACACACTGAATAAATAAGGATGATGACTGTTTAGATATTACTACTGGCAATTTCTTTCTACTCATTCCTCTGGAATACTCCTATTGGTTTAGGAGGAGAGGACAGAACAAATTAACCATAAATCCTATGCTTAATTCCACATTTAAAGAGGCTCCTTTGCTGCAGTGGGAGCTGCCACTGCAATGAGAAATTGTGTGTGTGAGGACAGTGTCCCATGGCTGTGTATCTGTAAATCTCTTTACACCAAACACTGCCTGGGCCAGGCTGTGACCTCAGGCAAGAAGGAGATTGCTTGACTTTCATATAAAAAAGCATGTTGCATGATAACTGGAAAATTATGTTTGCATTATTCCAGTAGTTGGACCAAATAAAGAGCTGTTGTGATGTAATCCCAGAGACACATCTCAGGTACTTGCTTTGATCTGCAGAACACTGTCAAATGAGTAGCATAATCCAGAAATCATCTAGGAAAACTGCCTTTTGTCCTTAAAACTAACATTCAAAAGTATTGCTTGTAGGTGTTATTTCACACTTTGCACAACAAATATGTTTCATTTATACAAATGTACATTTTCACTCAATATTTACACTCTTCATACACACCCATTATTAATGTAACCCTTACTTCCTATTGTAGAATGGATTTTTACCTGTAGCATAAGGTTTATCCAGAAGCAACTGCTTGACTAGAATGAAAAATGTAAAAATCACATTTTCAAACAATGACCTACATGAATCACTTGTGGTTGGTGACAGAAAACAATGTGGTTATAGTTCACTGTAAGATCTTTCAATTCTTGGATTAAAGTTTTCTGGCAAAATGTTCACTAGCTTGAATTAATTGTGATAACCACTTAGTCAGTAAAACAAAGTACACATACACAATTCCATGAGAATTCCTCAAGTCTTTACCAGCATGGACAAATTGCAATAGAAAATCTTTTAAGGATTTACTGGAAAAGGCAAACTCAGCTGTTAGCCTAAGAGTCTGTCCTAAAATGCAATAGTTTAGTTAAACTACATAGGAGAAGCCTTCATGGTGCTCTCTGCACTTGACTGCAGCCAATACTATTAATCCTCTAATGTCATAAATACTGTAGGAAAGACATGCTAATAAAAAAGACAGCACTGACACCATTTATCATGTGTAGGAGTATATAAATAATGCAGAAATCTCTCTCACTTTTACAAGAAAATCAGCTTTACAACAATTTTCTGAGAGAATTGACTGTATTTTCACTGCAAAAATATTTATACTCTGAAAAGTCTTTTTAAATAACCACATGATTTTAATTGTCATTATTATATCTATGTCAGCTTTTAATGAAAGACTTATGGATGTGTAATTAATGTTCCTGCTATCTGTTCTGTTTGTGGGAAGGTTTGATTTAATAATGAAATCTGCTCCATTTGAAAAATGCATTTCAGCCTAATGTCAGAGCTTTGAAAACCTGGATTGGTTTGATATCTAAAATGACTTATAGTTGGGAAAATGGGTTTTCTCCTAATTAAGACACATTACAATGAGAATAAAATATAAATGAAATACTTTTCCCAATTACAATGAGATTGTTTAAATCAACTACTGCTAACAAAAATGCCCAAGTTACATATATTTAGAAAAGATTTAGCAAATAGCAAATTGTTTTCTGATACAAGCCTGCTGCAGAGCACTCTGTATGGAACCCCACTGTCTGGATTTTAAAGGCACTGGTGGAATTTACAGAGTCCATACATCGCATTCCTAAAATGTTGATAAAGACTGAGTTTCTGTTACTTACATCAAATTTTTAAAGGTTGTCAAAATAAATACTGCAAGGTAAAACTCAGCAAAATGCAGCATTGTTTTTAGCAGAATCTCTATTTCCCAGGTATTTGTAAAATTGAGTTGTTCAGCCCATTTCCTATTATGAAGAAATCCTTTCTAATTCTGAGTTATGGATAGTGGCAATACCCATTAAGAAGTAGACAATAAGTATAGTGGTGGCTTTGGCTCAAAATCTAAATCCTAAACCTGTATAACATTGTAGAAGTAGGTTTTTTTAATGGTATATGAATGTCTTATTCTTTCCTGTGCAACCTGTGCTTTTGCAAGGAGCCCTGCAACCTTCATTGAACATAATTCAGTGATGGAACTCCCCAGAGGAGCAGGACTGCCTGGATACAATGCCACGTAGAACTGAGGAATTTTTATTCTTTTTACTCAACAGAAAATAAATAAAAGTATATTTTGCTATTGTTTTACAATGCTTATGGGAAAATTTTAAAAATCTAAATTTTGTCATAATCCTTGTTTTGCTTATTCTTTTCTTATGGGTAAAATATTCTATTCTGTTATTTAAAGCTATGTTGAAAAGTGAGGTGATTCATGTCTGTGCAAGTGTCAGGATTATGTATATCCTGTATATTTAGATATTCATAATGAGTATAACTTTGGAATGAGAATAAAATAGAAATGAAATACTTTTCCCAATACAAACTGTACAGATTTTTGAAAGACTATATAATCCTCACAAAACTTGTAGGGCCCACTTTTGTCTGTTGCAGACACCTTCTGGTACTTGCACTGATTATATGAATAGATGCTAGTAAATAAAACATCTCTAGCTAATAGTACCAAAGATATAAATTATAGTAGTAATGGAACTTGCTGTGTGTACTGCTATGGATTATGATTTTCATTGTATGACTTTTTTATTTCAACCACCACTCAACAGGATGGCAAAGGAAAGTGTGAATACACAGAAATGTGAGATGCTGTGACTAAGCACAGGAGTGTAACCATGGGAAATTTTTCCTACAAATCATCTCTTTGCATGGAGCATTAAATGTATTTCCTCCACAGAACTCAAACCAACCTCCTGATGTAATATTAAAGTGAGTGGCCTGTGTGTGTATGTCCCTTACATCATCATTCCTTACAACTGCTTTGTACAATACACGACTGCACAGAAAGGAGTTTGCTGTGACCCCACCCCTGAGGTTCCCACAAAAGCTACCACTGAAACCCTCAAATGCCTGCCAGAAATCTCAGCATTGAGAATTCTAAGGAATTTGCCAGCATGGTTTTAAAGGAAGCCAAGAGGATCATCAGTTACATACAATGATTACATTTTTGCCTGCTGATATTAATCAATTTTTAAAAAGAAATGAAAGCAATATGTGTTTTACTTTTCTCATGCTTGTGACTGCAGATTCCACTTAAAAAGTGATGATTTAGGTTACAGCTTTTGTACTTCCATTTTACCCTCCAATTTGTCAAATGCAGTGAGAGCACTAAAAAAAGGAGAGAAGAATAGAGGTGGCAAAGCTTCTAAATATAACCAAGATTGTTTATGTCAATGAGCTCTGCAAAAGGATAGTGTGTTTATGTGACTGTCTCAGTGAGTTGCTTTGCAATGCTCATTTATGCTGTGCATCCCTTATTGTTCATATTTCAAAGGCCCTTTTTTTTCCAAGGCTCTAAACATACATATCAAAAGTTTAATTATTAACTCAGTTGTGGAAATTGAAGTATTGAAGCTGACTGACTCTGTCAAGTCAATATTTACTGTTAGAAGAAGGATTAGATTTCATGTCATGCCTCCAAGTCTTACATCCAGAATTGTCCACCTACCACAATGAGATAAATGTTCATGTGTTTGGGTTTAAGTGCTTAGATCCATGGAAAAGCAATCAGGAAAATTGCTAAAAATTTCTAAAGGATAAGTCAGATGTTGAACATGAAACCCCCACACATTTCATGTTACAATTCTCCTCACTGCCATTTCTCAGGAATGTTCTGATTAATCCCTGTGGAACACTTTGTGTGCTGCAGTTTAACTTTGTATTTCTGTCATGGAACCAGCAATGTGCCCAACCAGCGATTCCTACAGCCTCACCAAACGTGTCCTGTCTGCTCCCATCCCTGCTGTCTGTCACAATTATAATCTTTTTTTTAAGATAAGAAAATCCCATTTTTACCACTGGAGAGCCAGGCTGCTTAGGTCACAAGATTCTCCTGGCTTAATCCTGGCGTATGAATCATGAACTTTGCCTAATAAGTACCGGCATTCTTCAGATGATCAGGCTAGGCTGAAGCTTACCAAGGCTTCCAGAGCTTTCCACATTCATTATCAGCATGCTTAAAGGATCCAAAGTAGTGGCTAATTAAGAGTTACTAAGACTGAAAGTTGTTTATTCTTACTTTTCCTTTGTGTCCTCTATTCCTCACTCTTATTTGGGTTGATATTGTAAATGGCAATAATACAACTCAGTTAAAAGATAACAACATATGAAAAGGATTATGAAAAATAGAATTTGAACTGAAAATTAGATATATGGAAATTGGAAACAAATTTGCTTGCTTTCTGCACTAGAATGGGTCAAAAGTAAGCTATACATGACCACAATTTCTGTTCAGAAAAAGCTTTTTTCTCACATTAATGATCAGAAAATTGTAAGAGAACCAGACTAATAGCAAGCCTCTACTCTGGAAATAAATGACTCCTGCAACTTTTGCAGAAGCACACACACTATTGAGAAGTCATAGTAAATACTATGTGATTAAGTAAGTATTCTGTTAGAAATAAATAACATCATGACTTTTAAAAGAAAAAGAAACTATTTCTTAACATTTGAAAGTGGAAACAGAACATTCACTCTAGATTCAGAGTACAGAAAATTGCTGAAATAAGTCTGGACTTCCAAGTACTTTCAATCTGGAAACCTGACGACCCTGGACATCTCAGGAAAATATTTATATTCTTGCACTAAATTCAGATACTAAGTCTAGTAAAAGTAGTAAAAAAAAATTCAGATACTAAGTCTAGTAAAAGCCTATTATGTTTAGCTACCAAAAATATATTTTTTATCTTTTAGCAGGATGAGCCTATCTAAATAAAGATTAGGGAAATTCCTCAAACACTATTTTAAGTGTGGCACAGCATGATAGAAAAAAGTGTATTTTATATTTGGAAAAAAATAAGAATATTTGTACTTAACTGGCAGTTAATTAACAACATGCATAGGTGGATCAATTCTATATGTATGAATAACAGGACACACCCAAGTCATAGCCAAAAATCCTTTGGGAACTTCTGTGAAGACAGCAAATATTTTTACAATAGCAGTGATTAAGCCTGAAAATAAAGGGAGAAATCCCCGAAAGGAAATCAGAAGTGAGTCAAAATCATTAGTGGTTACTCTCATATTTATCATCCAAAGTGAGTCAAAATCAGCAGGCGTTACTCTCATATTTATCTTTCTATAAACTGTACTGTAAGAATGCGGTGAAGAGGAAATGAAGAAAAGAGATTAAGAGAGCAAATCCATCTTTAATATTCTTTCCAAAGAAAGAATATTTGAGAAGAGTACTGAAATTTGAGAAGAGTACTACTAAAGAAGCACTAAATAGAAAGTTCTTCTTTAAGCACTCAAATGAGTTCTGAAAAAGAACTTAAACCAGTGGAATAACATTCTAGTTTATGTTTTCCAGACAAATCCTTTGAAATCAAATTCAGATACTCTATGGAGATATTTACAAATTTTTAAAATGCATAAAATTATCATAAAGATTCAGTATAGCCCTTTTTTGAGGCATAATTCAGTGACATACTTGAACAAGTGAGTAGCTGAGCATGAGTCTTGCTTCCAAGGACTTGCATAATTTAGCAACCAGGTTCAGGAAATGACTCTAAGTAATACCAGCCTGATTCAATAAACTATTTGAAGACACAGGGTACTGAGCACTGAATTTAGTGTTTGCTATGTCTGTAAACAGATAAACAGAATCTTGCTCCAGAATGAAGGTGTCTCTGCAGAAAAAGAAACATTCCCTAGTTCTAATAAATGTTCTCCTGAATAATACAGTATACAGAAATCAGGCAGAAAACCTAGCATCTGTGGGTAGAGATCTATGCCATCCCTCTCTTAAAAACCATTATTTGTTAGGGATAAACTCAAGCCACTTAAGTAAGAGCTACAGAGAGATAAGCAACACTTCTGCTATAAAAGTGACTGAATTTTTTCCAGACTTTGTGAAAAACACTGCAAAGTCTTATAAACACTTCACAGCATCATGCAAAACTTTAAATTAAAATTTTAGGCTACCACCGTGTTGAATGTTTAGAGAAGAAGTTTAAAGCTCTCCAGAAGCTGTTCTGTTTGATGATTAACTCTTTTTGTCCTGTTCCTCACTACCTCTGAAAATATTTTGGGTTTTTTTTAATGGAAGAAATTGTTTCACAATTCATATTAAAAAAACCCCAACTCTAAAGCTATGCTTTCAACGAAACACAGCATAACATCTTAACCTAATAATGTACTGCCCTACTTTCTGATTTGCAGACTTCAAAAAAGGAGGATAAATATTTTACTTTGGCATTGGGGCAAAATTGCTTCCTAAGAAAAAAAAAATTGAAAAAAATTACCTTATCTTGGTACTCCTTTCAGTCCTAGAAACTGCAGAACCAGACTGTTTTGAGACATGACAATGTACATGATGCAGATCAGTAACAGGAGCCACATTCAATTGCTGCTCTACAATGGCATTAAGGAATCAGAAAGGACAACAGAAAAGAAACATTTCCAGTGCTGTTTTTTTCCTTTGGATAAAATGAGCTTGTGTAGAGTTACAAAAAGGAACTAAAATTATAAGGCCAGAGTACAGGCATGGCATGATCCTAAAGAAGAATCTGTTTCCATCTTCCATATGCTGTACAAACACAAAAATAATGATGTATCTGAGCAAAAATACTTTCTATTTATGAAGAGAAAATTATTAATAAAACTATTTTGAGATAGCATTAAAAGCAACAATGAAAACAAAATAAAGGTATGCATATAGCAAAAAGCAAGATGGTTTTGAATGCTAGACAGATATAAAAATTATTTCCTAAAACTTCTAGTTACTATTAAGTTACTATTAAGTGTGTCATTCTTTGTGGCTCATCTTTGCCCAGAGAGCTCCATCATTGATCCAGTGCAGATTGTTCATTAATTCTTCATACCATTATATTAAAATATAGGAAAATAAAGATACACAGGGTTTACACCATCTTTCTTTTCAGTCAGAAGTTACTTCTCTTATTGGTTTTGTTTAATCTCTCAAAGGGACAAAGGAAGGAGAACAATAAATTTTCTCTGAAAAATACTGCTCTCAGTATATGATATCTACTTCCAAGTATTAAATCCAACTTAATATATGCAGTGATCAATAGATATGGACTTCATGGGGCAGTGGGGCAGTAAGGCTACAGCAATTAAACTCTATCATGAGTCACAAGGACTGCTGGTGGCTGTTCTCTTTCTACCCTAAGGGTTTTCTCTTGCTTGATATACCAGTAAATTTACATTATCAACCTGATTTTTTCTTATGCATGTAATATATTTTAATATATAAGTTCAGCAAGGGCAATTGCATCAGTTTAACATTCAACATTTATCTCTTCTTCATGATCTTCATTTGTCTACCTTATTTATTATCAGATAATGCATATGTATATGCATAGGATTCCTACCACATTACATTCCTGCTTATGATTTAAAAGCAAATGAGTTAATTTTTTCTTCATAACAAAGAATGCAGCATGTTATTTTTATGTACCACTAGGAGAAAACTGATAAAGAGGAAATGAAGCAGGGGAACAGAAAAACAAAGTGAGAAATGAAATCCAAGTTTCTAATGCAGCGATGTAATGCCAAGAAACTGCTCCAGAGAAAATGAATAACTGCCAGCTTTTTTACCTGTTGCCAAGAAAATGTTGCTGTGTTCACTGATCCTGTAATTAAACTGAGTATGTTCTGAAACAACTTCTGAATTGTGCCATCTTCTGAGAAGGGGGAGGGAGCTTCATTCCTATAATACACCCATAGAAAGATGGTTCTTCTCTAAAAAATTAGGTAGAAGAGCAAGCTTGGTTTAATCATGTACACAAATTCTTTAAAGAAAAAGAGTAACATTTGGAAAGAGAAATCTTATTGCCTACAGACCTTTGAAGGGAAGCACAGAACTGTAATTTGCATCATTCAAAATACTCATGTGCAGGGCAAAAAGTTTTAATAGCTATCCTTTAATGTCCTGAAAAAACAGCAGCCTTGCTGACTTCTGCTGTTTTGTCAACATTTTAAAATGTGACCTATTAATTGTAGTGTCTTATAGCAATTTCTTGCTAGGATTTTTAATAAATTTAAGTTATTGCTATTACCCATGCTGATCAAGGTGTTTGTACACAAGTATGTCAATAAACCAGATCATACCAGTATACTTCTGTACATACCCCATTTTATCTTGTTCAGCCCAATGTTGGTTAACCAAGATTTCATAAAGGCTGACTATATTCTCTTCACCTCTACTATGGTCTTCTGGGATCTTCTGGTAAAGCTTTATTGTACTTTTCACAGCTTTTCTGCATTCCTCATGCTTGTACACCAGATGAGTTAATGAGATGTTGCCTTTTCTCAGCTGAGTCATTCTTTGCTCTGTGGCTGGCTGTGCTAGGCAGGACAATGGCCCTCTCAGACATTTGTCACACAGAAGCATTGAACAGCTGGGACTGGAAGGGATCCCTGGAGATTGTGCAGTCCAACCCCCCTGCTGAAGCAGGTCCACCTAGAGCAGATTGCATAGGATCACATCTAGATTGGATCAAGGAATGTCTGGATCAACTAATAAAAGTGTCAGAAAGCCCTGGCTTCCAAAACAGTTCCCCAGTGCTCTTCCTCACATACAGTGATAACAACTGTCTGCATGTGCAGGCTGACAGGTTCACTCTGGAGCAAGAGCTGGGCACAAGCTGCCACCCACACTCTGCTTCATTTGCAGGAGAGTTGCTTTGTTTTAATTCTGTGTTGGCTTGTTTAGTTGAGGAGTAACAGATCAGAGTCATTCACCAGACAGAAAACTCTGCTACTAATCTACCTCCAAAACAAAACTCAGAAGCAGAGCCAGGTCACTCTTACTTTCCTGGCTTGCATCAGTCCTGCTGTCTCTTACAGATATCAGCATTATCCACTGACTTCAGTGGACATGAATATGCCCAGGTGGTCCATTTCTGATCATTGCTTCCAATCCTGACATCAGCTAATTAATTCTTGTACTTCTAAGCCAAGCTTTGGACAGTTTAGTGGAGAATGAACAGTTAGCTATTGGTGCTGATTCATTATTACCTGTGCTTTCTCAAGCTGTCAGCATCGATTCCAAATACATCTCTTCACATTTTCACTGCTGAGCAGTTCCACTTGCTATGGACCACGAAACAAGAGGTTTCCACAGCTGATAACTTGAGTACTTTGATAAACATGATAAAATGAGTATAATTTTATATATATAGTTATATAGAGTATGTATATACTATATATATATAGTTATATATATTTATATAACTATAAGTAAACTGGATAAAATGAGTATAATTTTTTATATATAGTTATGTATTATATATATACTATATATATATAGTTATAGTTATATATACTTATATAACTATAAGTAAACTTGATAAAATGAGTATAATTTTATATATATAGTTATATATAGTATATATATACTCTATATATATATATAGTTATAGTTATATATACTTATATAACTATAAGTAAACTTGATAAAATGAGTACTTTTCAACCACTACTAAATGTACAGCAAGAGTAACACAAAACTGTATGTGTGTATTTTGACTTGCTGCAAGAAAGGCCAGAAGATGGATGCACAGTTACATTGCACCTGTTCAAAGGAGGCCACATTAATACTGGGTTTTCAGCAGCCTTTCCAGTTGCCATCAGGAGAGCTGATAAAGCTGGCTAGCAGGCAGAGCTCTGGGAGCTGTTGTTTGGTACAGGGCTCCCCCCTCCATTTTTGTGTCTGTTCTCGTGCCTGCCCTGCCAGCAGGGCTCACTGCACACTCCCAGGGATACATGTGAGAAGCCACCATCTTGACAGAGGTGACACGAGCAGCACAAAGCATCTTGTGTGAGATGTGATGTCTCACAACTTGCACTAGGTTCTTAATCATAGAATTTGGAGAGGGAAATGAAATCTGGCATACAGCCCTTAATGTTGCCCTTAATGTATGACCTAGATTGCATTTCCCTAGATGGTTTATGAGAATGTTACTTGAGAGATTTTTCACTAGGGTTATTAAAATGAAAATATACAACTGCCTATCCCTCATTCACAAGAGCTGCTACCCTGTTGTAGAGGGAAATCCAACTTGATTAACTTGGTGTGTTGTTCACAAATCCATCCTGTTTCTCACTTCCTGCTTATCTTCCGGATGACAGCAAATTATTTTTCCTAGTTTATTCTACATTTTTTAATTTTTATACTTAGTGAAAGAGAAATGAGTTGGATTCTTGAATAAAAGTAGTATTTGCAGTTGTTACAGGAAAAATCTCCTGTTCTTTGTAGTCTGCAATAGTAAAAGACATCTAACTTGATCCAGTGCATTTAAAATGGGCTTGTTTCTTCATTTTTCCTCTTAACCTTATATTGTTTTGAACATGCCTTACTACCCTTTACAACTCCAACAGGATAATGATGTAGCAGCTTTGTGCTCTGTCTCGTTCCTTTTTGGCCATCCTCCACAAAATTCAGTTGCATCTTATCCTATTACTAACCATTTTTAAATCTTCCACTTTTTCAACAAATACATCATTAATGGCATTAATATTAAAATATGTTTCTAATATTGCTAATCTTCAGAATAGTTTAAAAATACACAATCAGTTAATGCCTAAAACCCTTTGCAATAATATTGTCATGTGAAAACTCTTCTTTCTATTCCAATGTACAGAAGCAAAACCTTTAAAGCTGCACATGGCTTTAGGAAATAAAAGAAATAACACCTTGAACTTTTATTTATGACATGTTTTGAAAATTCTGTCAAGCTCTGCAACAGGTGAAATTGTCTTTGAGATTGAAGGCCACACCAAGCTCTTTTAGAGCCATGAAGACATTAAATCATCTTTTTGTGAGGCAGATTGCATACTTGCCATTGTTTTACTGGTCTTATGGGATAAAATTAATTTGCAGGGAGTTTTAGATTTCTTTTTAACATCAATCTACAAACTATAAAAACTAAAGTGGTTTATCTCTATAGATGTTTATTTTATGTATCACTACGTGCACCATTTGGAATATAACAGTAAGTGCTTTTTATGTACTCAAATGCATTCGTTTATAAGGAAAGACTTGACACAGTGTGTAGGTTAGTTCAGTTGCTTACTTAACTGCACTGATTGCAAAATGCTGAACTCAAACCAGCTCACACAGGATTTGTTTTAATTTCTCTCTGTTGGAAGAAATAAAACAGATTATTTGATCCAAATTCCAATGCTGTGCTCTGACTTTTACATGCCATCTAAAATGTACTAATAATGCCAAAAAATGAAACACTGAATGTTCTTCTATTTATTCTCCATGTATCATTTTCTCATTTGGGGAATCAGGCTCTGAAGTGCTGGCAATTGAAATAATCTGAACCATAAGCTTTTGAAAGCTATTCCTTAATATAGACCTTGATTACCTTTGTGGGTGGTGTTTCTTTGTACCTACATGAAAAAATAAAATTGTCATGACTCTTTTTTTTTATGTCCCACCTACAACTCCCTTATTCTTACTAAAGATTCAGATAGAAGGCTGTGTTTTTCTCCCTAGATTTCCCGATAAATATGAAAAATGCATTTCATCTGTTTAGAAAGATGAATAGGCTTCAATTATGACAAAGTAATATTGGCACACATTTTTGTTGGGCCTGAATTGTAAGGAATTAACTATTACATTTATAAAGATTTCTAGACTATTACAAGTAAACACTTTGCTCAATGGATTAAGATGCCAATTTACTAAGTAAATCTGCAGGCTTGTTCAATTACATTTTAGAGTGAATTTAGAGTGAAACAAGGATGAGAAATTCTTTCTGGACAGTGCAAAAGAAAAGGTCTTTCCCTTTTTAGTTCCTACCACGTATGCATATTTCACACAGGCTTTCTAAAGAGGACTCTGCCAGCATAAAATACTACTTGGAAGACTTTCTCAGTGCTTTCTATCATTGCAAGAAAACAAGGCAGAAGAAGCAGGACCATCGCTATCATGATTTGGGGGAACTGATTTTGTGTAGGTATGCCAATAAAATTGTTCATCTAAATCTGCACTGTCTGTACAGTCTGGGGAAAGATGGAAAGAAGAAAAGCTGCCTTCCAGAAGTGACTGCTTTGTTACAGGAAAAAACCTGTAAAGGGCCATTCCCTGGGAACTGCCTTCAGGAACTCCAGAGTAACTAGCTGAGACTAAACAGCCAATATTTAAAAAGGTGGAGTGAGAACATTGTTACAGAAGAGACACAAACTTAATCTCTGAGTTAAGCAAGGATGAGAACAATCAGCTCACAGAAATTACCTGGGAACTGGTCCATCACAAATGGAGTTTGAATACACACAACTCATTGCTCTGAAATTAATACTGGTTTGGGGTGTCTTTTCCACAGAACTACAGACAGCTGCCAACCAAATGTAAGCCTACAGGCAGTGGCCAGTTTGTATGGTGTGGCACATCATGCGGCACTGGAGACTTTCACATCAACAACATTGCTACTAGGAAATTTTTTTGTAAGCATAATGGTAGCAAAAAATTATTTTAAACTAACACTTTTTGAATTTGCAGCTGAATGCAGCTTTCATCTGAATGTGTGTAGGGTAATGTTGGTAATTTCACCTCCCTCCAAAAGTCACGTAAAGGATGCACCTTGACTTATGAAAAAATTGCTGAGAAGTTTAGACTCACATTCTTCACAAGTGAGAAATGTTCCTTAACC